ACACAGGTGGGTCCAAACATCTAAAACAAATGTCTACCTTTGACTATAGAGTACATTGAAAAATGTAAGATACAAAGAGCGGTCCCATTTTGATTCCTAAAACACAGATGTTAGTGTTTCTAGGCCGCTTGTTTGACCAGGAGTAAAATTAGAATCTTGACTGTTCAAAGGGGTTTTAGTTAAATTATATTTCTCACGTAACTGGTTTACTGTTAACCTGCAAGGTCTGTAAATCACCCAAGGATGCAGCTGTGTGTGAAGGCTGACTGAAAAATGGGTGAATCAAATTAGATTCCATTTATTTACACGTTGTGACAACATTCCTGCTAAAAGGGTTGCAAAATGTTCTCTACAAAAATGGACCGGATTACATTACAGGTATTAAATTCCTTCTAAATTTCGTCAAGTCATGATATCAGGTTTAGCATTTCCTTTTAGACACAGATCTCTTCTGTGTTTTGGAAGGAAATGGTTTTGACTATGCTATGAATGCTGAGTTTATGTTTCAAGGATGGACGAGTTTATTATGTGTTCTCTCTACAGGAGTAGATAGAGGAACATTTGAAATTGTGGCCATGCTCTAATTTTTTAAACCGAGGTTTTATAATGAGCACTATGTTCTACTTTACCATTTTGGAGTTGATCAGCAAGCGACAAGTACAGAATCACATCTCATTATCATTTAGAAAGAATCATACACAACGTGAGCTGCCAATTCTGCAGTAAGTGTGTAATCAAAAGCTTTTAGCCTGACTCATTCCAGCGACATTCAATATTCAGCTGGGTTATGACAGTGGTTTAGTAATAATGTGATACTCTATTGATCTAGTGGACAAAATCTATTTTCGCTTCTGTAGCCTGGCTACAGAACACTGCTGACTGAGCTGGTAGCAATTCAATCCTGCTCAGATGATTGCAAATACAGGGGCTTGGGTCTTTGGGATGAAGGACAGTGTACCAGCACCACATTCTCTATATGCCTTTAGGATAAATGTAGCTTCACTGGCAAACAAACCAAATGTGTAAGTATTGTGGAGAATATTTATGGGGATTGCCTGCTCACAGTAGAAACCTCAGAGGAGAAGAAAAAGGGACACTGATGGCAGCATCACAATCTCTGACCTAATTTCTTCAATACAAGCAGTGCAGATAGGACACCAAAGAGACTTGTGGCTGTTATCCGGGGTTTATAGCCTTGTGTCTCTTTAAAAACTAGTCCTGGGCACATGATCATTTAGACCTACATACGAGGTCAGTCGTCCTTAAAAACTTCACCCGTAGAAAGTCTGACTGAGTGTCAGAAAGGAGCTCCATTTTCCTTCAGGAAGCAAAGTTTTGAGGGACTCATTATCACTGTACATGATGCCTGACACAACCCACGCTGAACACAGCCAAGGACTCCAAGGACATTATGCACAACGTGCTCAAATTCCCCGTAGCTTGGTGATTATATGATCCAGACAACAAAAATAACATTAAGCCATTTACTGAAAGTGGGGGAGAAAGGACAAAGTGAGTACACATGTGAGACCCAGCGGTGCTTTAAAGCAGCAGTTTCCTTGTTTGCCGCGCCTGACTCATTATGCCATCACGCTAAGCCATCTGCACAATCACACAGTCAACTAAAAGACATTGCAATCAACTGAGCAGCACAGAGAGACAGTGTGCCATATATAAAAAAAGCCAGATAACTGAAAACACATTGTCACCTTATCACATGCACAGTGGTGTCACCAGTGAGGTTTCCCCCCCTTGCTTGGATAAGGTTAGCTTCAATGACAAGCAGGGATGGAGTATTTGTGTCTTACTCCAGTCAGGACTCACATGACAATCAGGACAAATCCCCACCACTGTCAATCACTTTAACAGAAAGCCAACACAGGCTCAACAGACCTTTCAGCATCAGACTTAAACACAAAAAGGCACACCCATACATACCACCTCAAACCTGGGATGCGCAGTGATCACAGAAACCAGCTGAACTGGTTGAGGGACTTGTCAGTCATGCACAACATTCATTCTGCCTGATCACGTGATTGTTACCTAATGGGAGGATGCCAGCATAACAACGTCTTACATTGTTACATTGTTGTTAAGATTTTCTAAAAATAACAACAAACATTAACTTGTGTTGTGTCTCTAGGACAGCATAACAGTCTAGCAATGATGCTGGGAGGCATTCTAAACACTACAACGAGGTAGTAACTTTGAAAGTAAGTGTTAAAGCTCAAAGACATTTGAATGACAGCCAGAAATTTGTCTCAAATCCATTTACAGGATGATCCGCAGTGCTTATCGGGCACAATTTGACACACACAACAACAGTATTCATGGTGTTTTAAGGTAACACCAAGATACCCAAACAGAAAGGTCAGCTAAGCAGGCTCTGTTCCTTGCTACCCTAGCCCAACTCCGGCATGCCAACCTTTAAATATTTTATAAGGATGAATAGTGACACTGTGCATTAGAGACACTCTACGGAGGGGCCTGAGCTGCCAGTCACTGGAATGACCCCAATTTCTGCTCACCACTCACTGCTGAGGCTTTGTGTGTTACCTCCAACCACAACTATTGCAACAGCAACCCTTCCTGCATGCGAGGTACCGGGCATGCTCGCCACACTGCCCTCTCAAACTAATGAATGGTGACACTTCACAAAGCCACATGAAATTTGTGTTTATTCTAACCTTCTTCAGTGACCACTTCAGGTGTAAGACTCAATGATTAATGTGTTAGAAAATACTGTTACACTGACACAAGTGAATCAAATGTATAAAATTATAAACACTTACTGCGTAATGGTGTTCTGTACACTTTTTTCGTTGAGCGTCATTCCTGGGGGTGGATCATTTTGCAGGGCTAATAATTCCTTTTGTAGCCTTTTCTGTTGAAGACAATACGTTGGGTTTGTACCATTGTCAGATTTGTTTTACTCTAGCACAACATAATGAAATAAATAGTAATAAAATAAAAACAAAACAGCGTTTGAGTAATATTTCCCTCTTGTTCTTTCAATACGTAAGATCCATAATCAAACCAATGGGACTTATCATTGATGTTAGCATTTAGCTAACGAGAGCCGTTACCGTACTATAACATTAGTAAACGTCCAAACTCCACCCAAATTAAACAATTTGAGACTGATACGGGTTAAAATCGAGCGATAACCCCTGTTTATCAATATTAATTAAAAAAAAGAAGTTGGCTTTATAGTTGTTTTATATAAGGACAACTGAATTTCGACTCAGCTATTTTATGAAAGCGATGCACCTGTTCGGCTCAGGAGCAAACTGCAACTGGTCAATCTGCGCACCGTCTCGTTAGCACGCCGAGCTCAACGTCGGCCAACTGGCAACCGACACTCCGTTAAAGTATTAGACTGAATTTCATCACCGCAACACCACATTCGTTGTTTTATCACCCGTGTGTTTCTGCTAAATAAAAAAAATACACACAGCCATCAACATGTAGTTCCAGGAAGCTAGTTTCTATGCTAGCCCTGACTTGCTGTTGATGATGATGATGATGTGCTAGTTGTATTGCTAGCAACGACCGAGCGCTAAACCGGAACAGTTTAGGCTAAAATCTCACCGCTTTTACTCTAACGTCACCGCTGCCTTGGACAAATACGCGTAGGTAAATGAAGTGGTTAGTAAAAATACCGAGAAAAAGCAGAGTGGAGGTGCGGTAAATTATAAATATGCGATCGCTGTCAATTGTATTCTTACCTGCATCGACGCCATGATGGAAACCCCCCTGCATCAGCGCAGAGTGGAGGACGGTACGTCAGGCAGTCACGTGACCGGAGGAGTTGTTTTGACAGACGAAAACAATCCACGCGAACGTGTAGATCCACGACCCCGCTCACCCTTATGTCATTTCAAGTCGTGAACGGACTCTGTATTGGCGTTGAAGCAGGATTTTATAAAACTGGGGGGAAAAAATGCATGCGGTGTTAAAATACACCGAGGCCACAAAGGACATTAGGGAGGGTCAGTGACCTCTGCTGAAGGAGTTCTGACCTGCCTGACATACCTGATCCAGTCATATCAAATACCTTTCATGCCTCATTTTGTCTTTTAAAGTGCTAGCAGTTTTATTTAATAATTAAATAACATTTTAATTACACCTTTTAGGATAACATCGGTGTCTTTGTTACCCCGTCAGCAGCTCCCTTTTATTAAATCTGCACAAACTTTTAGCTGCAATCTCCAATAAACGTGAAAAAGGAAACTTGAAGTATTTTCATTTCCCCTTTGGCCATCAATGCCAAAAGTGCCCGAAGCGCAGAAAGCACATTCATTTGTCTGCGTCAGTCGAGTTCAGAACATTTTTATTCATCTGGATTGTAATTTGATCACGTCTGCTAAGGTTTCCTGGTGAGGGAAAAAATTTGTGCCTTCTCTTCGCAGCCGGTGTTAAATGAGATGTGATATAAGCTCTCACCTGACATGGTTCACACAAGGAGCAACTTAAGCTAGATCACAGTACAGCCGTATTATTGACAGCCACTTCACTTTAGAAAATCACAGCTATCGTTTACTGGTTGACTTGTCAGTGGCTTACAGGACAAGTTCAAATACAAAACAAGTCCGTTCATGCATATGTACTGTGTGACCCTATATTAGATTAGAGTATTATCACTTCCCCAAAATCCATATCCAACTCCACAGACAATATTGTCTGTTGACTGTCGATTTTTAGCACTAGTTTGACTTTCTAAGTGTAAATGATTACCATTTAGGGAGTAAAATATTCTTGTAATGCAGTTTCAATTGTGTTTATAATGAAAATGCCAAAGATTGCAGTTTCCCTATTATAAAAAAAAGGAACACATGGTAAAATTAACTTATTAGAATATTCCCCCTCTGTTGTGTACTACATACTAATGGGAAAAGTAAAGAATAATGTATTTGAGTAAAGCCTTTAAAATATTGTGTAAGGTTTCCCTAAAGACAGACAAAAAAAACACAAAAGTATGAGGCAGGTTTATTGTGAAGGTGGCATTTAAGTCAAATTACGTGGTACAACACAGCAAACTGGAAACAACATGCTCACCAAATAGGTCTTTATTTAGATGCAGAGGTGAGGTAAGATTTCAGAGGAAGGGGGGCACATTTATCACATTATTGGCCTGCCATATCCATTTATTATATTAAAATGTAATCTTTTAATATCAATGAAATAATGACAGAAAGCCAGGAGCAGAAAAGAAACCTCATGTTCCATATGAAGAAAATGTCAAACAAGTTAAATATTCAGAACAAAACAAAACAAACCAAAAAAAATCTAAAAATGTTTTAAGCTTTTACATTATCTTCATCACTTTAGCAATCCAAAAAGTTTGCAGCCATGAGCAGTTCCAGTGCGATCTCCGGAGCGATGGGGAATTCAGGTATTTCTGTGGAGCTGTTGGTGTAACGGACCTTGTAGGTGAAATACATGCAGACCTTGGACAGGACATGGGATGGGATCTCCCTGAAGTTCACTTCGTTGGTTTCGTTCTCAGCAAACTGTCCTGCAGACGGAAGGTTATAGTGGGTGTCAGCTGTTGAAATACTAAACGGATCGCATACAATTTTCCACACATTTTGATAAACATACCATATCCCTATTTGGATGTAGTCATTAAACAGAATTATTTTGCAAGATGCCATCCGTTTACATACAAAAGAGATCATACTGAGGTAGATTGTCAGTGAACATTTAGCAAAAAGCTCTGTCTATAAATAATCGGAGGGAACAAAGCCACACAATGGAGGGACCATAGTGCCACCAACTGGACAGGCAGAATTAACAACACCACCTTAATTATGATATCAAACATGGCCGAGTCAATCTCTATAATCTCCAAACACGAGACACATGCACTGACATGACGAATGCCAGGAGCACAGTAGTGTACAGTTAACCGGAACATAACACCAGTGAGCACACCCTGTGTTGGACCTTAAAACACGGGTGCCTAAAGCTATTTAAGCCAACTTTTTTGTCCTCAATACCTTTATAGCTGGAGCAACACTCACCATCCTATCATCAGTGTATCTATCCAAATCTAAGTTGTGTTTCTCATCTGTCATTGGACTCTCAGAAGAGGAAAACAACACATGACTGCCTATATTAAGTAAATTACAATGCAAACAGAAGCTCCTCAGGAATACCAATCACTACTTACACCATGCTGGTAAAAGGTAAAAAAAAACAAAAAACAAAAAGGTAAACACTTTCATGTGAAGAATTTAATTTTATAAAAGTCTTTCATCCCAGGCATAATCTGCAGAAAATGAGAGAGTGCCTTAAACCTTACTGTCATACCTATTTCAAACAGCATAAAGAATGGCCACAATCCAGAAGTCTGGAGAGAAATCACCATGAACTAATCCCACACTTATTGCTAACCACCACCAAAAAGCAAGCACATTGCAGAGCTTTTCCTGGCTTAGAATGAGCCTTTGGAGGATAACTATGCACAATAAGCGTGACCGGTCTGTTTACATTAAAGGCAATAAGTCTCTGTTACCTTATTTGGCAGAAATCTATGTATTTTCCTGTTATTTCTAACCATCTGATAAACAAAGATGTCTACTGTACTTAAGGAAGTGTAACTCCAATTACCATAATTGGTTGAAGAATTCAATGACTAATGTTATTCTCAGTTCTCACAATTTTGGCACTGCGGATTTTCCTTTTGAGAATGACTCAAAGCTCTTTTGGACGGTGCCAAAATTTCCTCTATGAATAAAACATCCTGCATTGTTAGTGGATATGCCAGATGACCACTGGATGCTCTGTAAACTATGGCTGAACAATGAATCCTTTTCATAGTAAAACTACAATGCAACTAGCAAATCACAAAGGCAGGAACTTAGGATATACGATGTACAGCACATCTGTTCCAGGGTTTAAATGGTTGTGGCACTGCGATGACAAGCTCCTGTCATATTCCTTGTGTGACAGTCATCCTTTTGATAGTGTTTGATGATATATCACATTGAAATGCTCATCAATCTATCAAATACTGAACTGAAGCTTGACACTAAAAAATGACATTGCAAATAAAATCACAACATCTGTCAGAATATATGCAATTAGCTTTTTAAAAAAAAAAAATAATTTAGCCCCACTGTTAACTAGTAAATTTGCTGGTATGTTGCTTAAAAAATACAACCCCATCAATTCTTCATTGATTACCAATTAAATTGTTTAAGAAAACTAAAACGGTTTCCTCTCGAAGTAATTTTCCTGAATCCTCACCTGGCCCGCTTAACATGGCTTTGATAGTCCCAGATGTCAAGGCATGTTCTCTCTTCACTATGAATTCATGGCCATCTGAGGAGATCAGTTTCACATACATGGCATCTGGCCCTTCACAGCCACCATAGGTTCTCTCCTCACCGTCTGTGAAGCAACATAAAGGAACAGGTGAAAGTCACATGTTTCAGAACTACATACAGAAGCTTCATAAGGGTTGTCACAAGAGACAACAGACAGTTTGTTGCTGACGAGGAAAATTAAGAAACGAAACCTCTGTGGGCCACAATACACATTTACTCTGATGTTTTTTTTTTTTGTTTTTTTTTTTTAATGACAAACAATATCACGAATTAGTGGAAAGGTACAACATGAGCTTTAGCTTTCGGTAAATTGGTCACTTACCCATTCTGTTGTGGTATTTCTGTCAATCCTGAAACGGAAAAATAAAGCATCACTCGTATTAAAGACTTTTAACTCAGTTCAGACATAAAAAGTCGGCTCTTCTAGAAATTGGCTCCAGTTTTATCATTTAACACATTCCATTTGTAACAGATTGGGGTTATCGTTACACGGGCCTTCAATTTTTTGTTTTTTTTGACACTCACCGTGTAACGTTGAGCAAGATCAAGTAGCTAAGAATAATGTGCCAAAAGGTAGCCATCATCAGAATAGGTCTAAATAAGCACCACTGTGACTTCTCTGCACAAATAGAATGAAAAGTAAACTGCGGCTGAGGCTTTTTTATTTGACAGTTTAAGATTTCAAGTGAGTTCGCAGCCGTCAGCGTTAGCTAGCGCCGGCTAGCAGGCTAACGCCTTTCCAAACAATCGATACATTTTTTTCAACGCTTGATTACAGTTTAAGACTAACATTGAATGTTTAGTCCCACACGCAGCCCCACAAAATAACGTGTAATCGAAACACAACAACGTTTCTTACCTCTATGTAGTTGAACGTGTAGCGGAGACTGTGTGTCAGCTAACGTTAGCCAACAGGATGTTGATACCCGGAACCAGTTAGTGCGGACACCCGTCCGACAAAAATATATTCCGTGGAAACCAAACTGTCCCCATTCGTTGTTTATCTATTTCAGTGCAAATTTAAACAAAAATATTAACAGTTTAATTTGTTTGATGAATCTCTATATCTCGAAGAAGAGAAAACATGTTAATAAAATAATATCTGGTGAAATCACAAAATGCTGAAATAAAAAAGCTTACTGTGCAAACCAGATGTTATGTCTGGATAATAGATATGTACACCTCTGCTATTCTGTATAAACCACTGTCTCTAAACAATACATTTATTCAAGAGAGAGAGAAATTATATTTTTGATTTTTAGTTTTAATGGAGACCTAAGATGACTAGTCAAATTTGCACGTTCCGGGCCACCGTCCTATTATTCCTATAGGGGGCGCCTGTGTTTAAGGTTAACCTTTCTGACTGTCTCTTCTGGCTGTGATGAGTGAGAGCAGGTGCTGATTGGACACGACAGAGACATTTTGTAGGGCCATAAATCTGGATTCAAGAAAGAATGAAAGAGGGGGAGGCACGCAATCTGCACCTTTATACATTCTCCAAAGTCCACTCAGTAAAAATCAGTCTGTTCACTTTGTTATTTTGATTTCAGATAGTATAGTAGGACAGTTACAGGAGTATTCACTATTGCATTCACATTTAGCAAGTAGTGTTGCAAGGCCAACTGAAAGGACCACATTTTTCAACTAGGAAATGAATTTTGTTGATCAGAAAATGACTCGATTACAGCTCACAAAATCTGTTCTGACAGGTAAAGTGTTGTCGGTGCGAGGGACAGTTGAGAAGTGGGCACATACTGTAGTCACGGTCAGGTTCGGAATGTGACTTTGCCATGATCCTGCCTGAAGTTCTTTCATGCAGGAAAAGTGATGACTGTTGAAATCCGAGGCTTCCAAATGGATGCACAGATATCTGAGCTGTGACACTAAGAGCAGAACACTGAGCGTGCCTGTAAATTGTGCAGTTTGACCCAGAGGTGCTTTCTGAAGGAGCGTAATGTTGCTCACGAAGGATGGTGAGCAATTTTAACATTTTATTTTGTCGTTGATGTATACGCAGATATTTAAAGATCCACTACTGACTCACAGAAGGAGACCCTCTCTGGCCAGTTTTGCGTAATTGACTGTACTCCCCGCTGCCACAGATGTCAGTGGAGACATATGCAGAGGTGACATCTGACCTAGTATTTATCTTACATTAATACCAGGTTTAGCTATGCTGTCAGTTTGTGTTCCAGAAAGTTCTGGTAGCCTGTGTTGCTTGTTGACTCTCTCTCTCTCTCTCTCTTTCACACACACGCACACTCTTACACACTCTCATACACACAACCAAAAACAATCACTGACCTTCCAGTCCCCCATTACACCATTAGTGCTTATGATCAGAGCGGGCGGGTGGCGGCAGCCGCTTTGATGTCTCTCTGATACGACCCACCCGGCTGCAGCTGCTCTCAGCTCTATTTTGGGGAGGCTGCTGTGGGCCCTCAGAACAGGGCTTCCTTAACGCACACACACACCACACACACACACACACACACACACACACACACAATGCATGCAAACACTCTTGTCTTGCCAAGTGATATCACCCATCCCTTTAACAGCTCAACTCTGTGCTTTCTCAGATCGCACTTTCTTGTACTCACCTATGCCATTCTGGAAATAGTGGGATGCAGTTAACTTGCTAGAGAAGGCACTTGTCCATCTTTGTGCCCGTTGGTGTAATTAAAGGTCTGTGACGGGCAACACACTCAAAGTGCAACATTCAGCATGATTTACAGGATCGCAACCGTGCAGATGCAGGGATGATAACTTGATTCATGTGCAGTTTAGACATTACTCCTCTTTTTTTCTCATCAGTAATGACAAATATTTCTGTAAAGGTGGATATGGTTTTGCTGTTATTCCTCACATGCCTTCTTTTAACCAGCACGCCTCATTTTCCACTTCTTTATGCCGCCAGCGTCAATACCAGCGAATCGGTCAAATGTCGATACATAGGATCATATATAACGAATACAATGGCTTCCCCCTGAATGAAACCAGGTCAGAACTTTAGTCATGATAGGAAAAGATGGGGGAGGAATGTCTTTGGGCATTTCCTCTCTGAAAAGAGGAAAAGGCTTGTCACAATGAATTTGAGGGTACGGTTTCTTTTGCCTGCAGCCAGTCACAGTGGCCTGCAATTCTGGTCTTAATCTCATGAACCTTCACTGTAGAGATGCATCAGCACCCCATGACATGTCACAACAGGGCTGTCTCATCCAATGAAAGATAATCTTGTGTAATGCATTTTAGAATACATAATTGTTTCAATAATCTTAAAATACACCCCCCCAAAAAATGATGCATGCATTTTAACAGCTTTTTAAAAAAAAATATGTAAAGGAGTTTTGTTCATGTAGGTCAAGAAAATCTGATATTTTTATGGTGTTGTAACGTGTAAAAAAGACATATTAGATTGTTGCTTTATTGCGTGATTTCAAGCCCGGGCGTGCTCCAGCAACTCAGCTCTTACTCAGGCCTAAAGGCACAACAAATGTGCTCACATAATGATGACTTACGAAAACAAAAAAGAAGTGTGGTCATCACAACTGCTGGTCTGTCCTTTATGTACCCAACAGAGCCGTGGCGTCTCCTCCTGTGTTTCTTGGATAAATAGATGATGGGGTAGCAGGGATGTTTATCAAACAAATGTGTCATAGAGGAATGGGATCTGACTTTATTTTACTGAGATGTTTTTGAAAATTACAAGCTGACGGTGAAAGCAGCGGGGTAAGACAATGAGCTCTGAGTCAGTGGAGCGGCGTTACGATGACCCCGTCGTTTACAGTGGGATGATTCAAAACCCATGCTGCCGTTAAGACAAAGCTAATAACCTGGCTACATGCATGGAAAAGCAACATCTTCTGAATGATCTGCAAAGTCCATTCTTTGCTTGCTTTCGACCAAACAGTGTTAGTTTACACCCTCTACTCGGCTCACGATGAAAGCTTCGACAGGCAGATAAGTGGATGTGACAACCATTTACTTTGAATAGCTTGAGGCGAATGCATTATGTTGAGGCCTTGCTTGTTTGAACTACTGTATAATGACGCACCCTATGATAAAACCTTCACCACAACTCACATGTTGCTAAATGAACAGGACGTGGACAGTGTTGTGCTTAAATGGTGGACGTTTTGCATTGTGCTGATCTTTTAGCGTTCATCAAAAAAAAAAAAGAAAAAAAAAATGGCACATGGAAGCAAGCCTGACGAGAACAGAAAGTGCTGCATGTTTGAATAATCAAACGCAGATAATAGTTTACCTTAGATGGCAGAGTGACAGATTTATAGTTTTATGACTGAGATTTGTCTCTGTGTAAATATAACAGATGAAGTGATGCTATGCTAGGCTAGCTATGCATGGCATGGAAAGGGGATCTGCTTAATACTGATGTCTTAGCAACAGTTTTGAAAAACGCTGGCCACTGATATCCCCTCACTGCTTACAAGCCTTAATCCAATTTTAGAAGCACAACCAAGTTGCATTTTAGTCGGAAGGTGGAGGCCCGGTCTCAAAGTGGGAAGTTAAATATACACACGAGAAACTCTCATCTTCCTGAGTCCGAGCCAGCCTTAAGATATCTACGTGTCCAAGCCAATCTTTACACAGCAGATAAAATAATATACCGCCCCTGATATTGAATTCACTTAGTCCTAATAAAACCAATCGGCAGCAAGTTTACACAATTTACCAAATTCATAGCATTTTTAATTAGGCTCCCTCATCTAGTACATATTTATTTAGCACAACAAGAAATGCTTTATAACGCACTTTATGTAAATACAGTTGTTACTTATTGTATAATGTAACATATCTGTAATCCAGACATGCCTACACACAAACATGCTACAGTACAGTGTGCTGCAAAAATGTTAAATCCTTAATATATAAATGTACAAATCATTCATCTCCAGGTTTAAAAATGACTTATTTCTGTATCATTATAATCATGTTATTACACAGCTTCTGGTAGCTGTTTATGTACCAGTTATGGCTCATTCATAGGAGGAGTTATGAAGGAGGAGTTAGAGTTGTTGACAAATACAATGGTAAAGACAAAACAATAATATCCCTACAGTGTCTTACATTATGAGCAGTTATAAATGATGTATTTATCGTTAATGATGCCATTTAACCTATTGTAATCTCTTAAATTATTGTCTTTGGTCTAAATGTTTTATTCTACCTACTTATGAAGTCGTAAAAGTGTTACTGTGTCGAGGACCACAAGTGGAAGTTATACCAAAACCAGTTTTAATTATTAATAGATTTTACAAACTACTTATTCTATACATTAGAAGAAGAGACAAAATTACTAATTTTTCAATGGAGAATAAAAACAGCAGTTTAAGAAAATAAAATCCAGTTGAATATATTAGATTCTCATTTTGCGAATTAATGACTTTGTTTTTGTATTTATTGTATTTTTGCTTTTATTGTCCATAGCTTGCATTTTCATAATGAGCATTTTCTTGACACTTGCAGTCTTCCATAGAATTTCTTGACTGTGGTTATTTTGCTTCTGGAAAAATGACTGTTAGTAGCTGCAAAAGCTTCAGAAACAAGTGGCTGATAAGTTCATTAGATGGCAAGGGGGGAAACTTTATCAGGATCTGCTGTGTTGCTGCATCCATCAGTTATCCTGGAGTGAGTTCATCCTGGCTCTGTCCCCTGTTTAGTAGATGGCACATTCCTCTTTGCTGAATATAAACAGGATTACTGGAGAATCTCCAGTCTGGTCAAAATTATAGCTGTCAATGGAATTTGTTAAATGGCCTCTAAGAAGGTACGATACACTTATAAGGTTTTGGTTTATATTTGTCCAAGACTGCTTGTGCAAACACATCTTGTCCAGCTTGCCGTGCCATATTAGAATAGTAACAGAGATATTCTATACTATTACTGACAAGTTCAGCTTCACGTAGGAGAGCCAGGATTGAAAATGTACCTTTGATAAATAAACAGTCTGATCAGTGTTTTTAGAAACTCTGTGATGCTGCAATGCTATTTTTGGAAAACCAACATTAAACTGTAAAATGAGATAACTCTCTGCTGGTTTTGTCGGTATCTCCTGAAGTCAGGGCAGAGGGCACGACGAGTGCACGACACGGTGCTGCTGATTCCGGGCAGGTGCCTCCGCCGCTGTAACTCTACACTAATCCGAAGCTGATCAGCAATGGAAACAGTACAAACTGACCCGAGACAAACTGGGGCACCTGCCTGCACTTGCTCCGCTAACGTGAGACCCCGACTAAGATACTTTGATTTCATGCCTGGTCTTCTGTCTTCTCCCCCCGGATCTCATTATGAGAAGGTCAACGTGAGGCCACCGTTGCTTAGAGATAAGTGAGCACGTGGCTGGAATTTAAAGCGTTGTTAAAAGACGATCCTTGCATCCATCAATTGAATTCCATTTGTAGATTTTATGCAATGTAGTGAAATATAGTGTGGATATATATATGCTGTGCTGTGTAATTTCTACTGTCATCAAAATTTCTGACATTTTGTACCCAACCATGACACCTGGACAGTTGAAAGTTATGATCCTTGTGGTGATGCATGACAAGAGCATTAAAATACCAGCAGAAGGCATAATGTTGTTTAACAAGGCATAACATCTTTATTGTTATACACATAACTTCATCTCCAAAGACTTTGCACAAATCAGTGGGGTAACATGAACCTTGAGATATCAAAAGTCTCCCACAGTTCCTTGTTATGTCCTAAAATACTCAAACAAGTACATCTGCCTTTCACACCCCCAAATGGTACGTACAGTACAACCAATTAGAAATAAAGTATTTTTTTTTCCACTGTCAAACATTATCATATGTGCATTACATTACCAATTACAAACAAGTTATATTCATTGTCAAAATACAGGTGTGCAAATTGTTAGAAAAATACCAACTCATACCAGATTCTGGATTGTGCTCTGTAAAAATCCTTACAAATAGTATATAATAATCTATATATAAATGTCTCCAACATGCAATGTTGCATTTCAAAAAATATCCCATAAACAGGCTGTTCAGTTAAACCCTCTAAAACTCCAGTCTTCACCATTTTATAGTCTACACAATATTTTGAATTTTTGTTTTTCCAGTTGTTATGTGGACAGTTTGCAAACGTCAAACTGGTTGAAGAATTCTCTAAATTTTAATGTGCTGCTCATTTTATAATCGACAATACAGTCTTCAAAATAAAATCGCAGCAAAGAAAACCTAAACATATTAAAGCCCTTTTCATGGTGACCAATGTTCACAAACACATCAGTTGTACAATGAATAAATAATTAAACTTGGTAGTGGTGACAGTAAATGTCCACCATATAAATAACCACTTTGAAAATCAAAGAAACTCATGCCATACCTGCGACAAAGACTACAAGCAGCTACGATGAGGCAAGTTCAAAGCATGATTCAGGTGATGACAACAGTCAGAGTATCCCCCACACAACAAAGTTAAGACAAGGATGGCATCGATTTCCCCCTCCCCCCCACCCCCACCCCCATTCCTCATCTTTTCTGAGGTAAACAGTAGTACTGTTAAAGACTTTTAAAGGCATCTGTCCTTCTCCCTGGAGCCACATTCCCCATGGCCTCAACCTGAATAAACTTCCACTGTCCACAAGACTGTCTTGATCCAGTCTCATAAGCATGCAAGCATTGCCGGGCAAGCAGCCGTGTGAGCTGCGTTTTTGCATCTTAGTGGTGTAGTGACACAATGAAAGCAAAGAATAGAGTGAAGAAATTCAAGCAAAAATGGTCTAGGCATGTACAATGAAATTATTTTCCTTCTGATTTCATAAATAACATAAGACATTTGTTACTTCACTCTCACAGAGCTCGCTGGCTTTTAAAGTATAATTCAGTTTCCTAATCACAATGCCTGCTGTCAATTAACCTCTCAAAGCCAGTCTAATAAAATTATGCAAAAAAAAAATAAAAATGAAAGGTAGGATTTTTCTAATGGTACAACCCCCTTTTTGGCAAAATATATTATAAGCTTTTGAAAAAAAACAAAAAAACATATTGCACTTTCAGTAACATGTATGTGTAATGTCAAATTACAGCTCAATTGTTAGAAATGAGTAAAATTCAAATAAAAAGGGAAAAAAAGAAATTTATTAACTCATTCTGAAAAGAGAACAAAAAGCCTACAAGCATGTGACTGCAGGTAACCAACATTCAGAGTACAACAACGAACGAAAAGATACGATAGAACAAAAAAATAAAAACAAACAAAAACAAAATGTTAAAACTGTACCATGCACGGGGAGTGTTTCAAAGCAGTGTATTCTGGATAACAATGGACGGAGCTTCAGAAAGCTGCGGTGATGTTTGGGTTAACAGAGTAAGACTGGCTAGTGACCGTGCTAGCACTGACTGCTGGCAACGGCCGTGCCCAGTTTCCTCTTGCAAAGAGTGGTGTGAACCCCAGAAAACGCTCCGAACACCCGAGCACGCTCCCGCCGTGACCGTCCCCCCCGGGCCGGGCTCACATCTCCCCATCAAAACGTCAGATGGCAAAATAGAAAGGCAGCTGTTTGCTCCCGTCATCTAAAAGTGCATCTCCACACTCTTCCAGCAAGGCTCCATCAGCCCACCGCTATCTCTGCCAAGGCAGTGGAAGTGGGCTACAGAGACCTGTGCTTGGATCAGCACACGTGTGGGTTTCAATAACTTCTTGTTTTCTTTTTTTTCAGACTGTGTATGTTTAGTTGCATTTTTTAAACTTTTTTATTTTTTATTTTTTAATCTCACTAGACACGACATTTCACCTCAGCTTTTACAGAAGCCAAAGGAGTGCTAATTCACGGGGCTGGCCCTAAAGAAGGCCAGTGACGGGTTGGTAGTAGTGATGCCTTCCTCCTGATTCTCTTCGGTGTCATGCTGATTCCTAAACACCTACAGCCGCCCCCGTGTCTCACTGGCGCCATTTTCATTTTTCAAGGCCGGCGATGCAACTGTACCGGTTGCCATGGTTTCACTGCAACATAAAACAGTTTGTTTGGATTTAATTGGGCCCTTGTCACATTTTCACATACACATTGTGGCACACGAGAGATGAGCAGAAAGGACAGATTCATCTTGTGATGCATTCATTTTTTGTAAATGTGGAAGAATAAGAGAATAAAATTAACGAACTTGCCTGAGAAACAGCATCATCATGTCAGAAAATGGACAAATATAATTGCAAGGCCGATATTCAACAGCATTACCATAGCAACAAGGATTGAGTTAGGACCCTGCAAAAAATAATAATATAAAAAGATCAGATATCACATAATAATCATCTAACAGTGAATCAAATTGCGAACGTTCCATTTCACAAATCAGTGCTATTAAGAATTAAATACAAGGCAGTGTTAAAATAATTGTTCTAAATCTGTAAGAAAAAAAAAGATTTGAAACAATATCACCCTCAAGTCTATACGGTAGATATGAAGCTATAGCCAGCAGCTAGCTAGTTAGCTTAGCATAGCATAGCATAAAGCCTGCGCACAGCTAGCCTAGCTATGTCCTCAGATAACAAAATCCATCTAACAGCATCTCTAAAGCTCAATCATTAACATGCTATTTTGTACTTGCGACTGTTAGCAGACATCCACGACAAATGAAACGAAAAATCAGTCTGGTTCACAACCCAGCATGAAATTGGGAATTTTAAAGCTTTAAATTTTGTAGGGGTTACAATTTTGTAGGGGTTACCATTACCATACAAACACACTACCTCTGCCTGAACGTCAGTAAGTGTAATTGAAAAAGTTCCTTTGCAAAAACAGGCAACTTTTGCAAACGAACTCTTCAATTAATCAGTGATACTTACTGTTTCTTCTGTACTTTCTGCAATCTCCATGCTAGCTTTCTTTGTGTCTGCGAGGCTCTTTGGCTTTAGGGAATCCTGCTTCCTGAGTTTCTGGTCGCTCTTGCTCTCCCGTATGGAGGCCGGCTTAGGAGTGGGGATACTATAGGACTTGGGGGGTTGTGGGGGCATACGTGCCAGGGCCAGGGCACTGGGCTCTTCTTCTATATCCTCCTCTGGGTCTGGTGGTGGAGGCGCCCTTGTAGGGGCCTTGACGTAGTAACTGTGGTACTCGGTGTGGAGCTGGCCATTGACTGGAACTGCAGGAGGCTGTGGAGGAGGAGCAGGAGCTGGGGCAGGCTGCTGGACCTTGGCGGGTTTCGGTGGAGCCTCGTCGGGTACATGGGAAGCTTTGGGGCCATCAGTAACGGACGGCCTTTCTTCTTTACTCAGCTTCCTGCTAGATCGCTCATCCTTGCTGGTCTTGTGGCTCGACTTCTCTTCTTTGCTTATTTTGCGGGAAGGTTTTTCTTCTTTGCTGGTTTTACGGCTGGTGCTGTTGGCGAGTTGACCTTTCTTCTTGCTGGAACGAGGCGAGGGGGGAGGTGTGGTTCCAGGACTGGTCACCGGGGAGTGGGGGGGAGTGGTGCCTTTGCGGTAAAAGTGGGGAGAATCCTTCGGGGAGCCTTCCTTCTTCTCAACAGGGACCTCCTTAATCTCCACAGGCTCCTTTAACTGCTGTTTTATGTAGTCGGGTCCTGAGGACATAAGAGAGGTGACATGTATTAACATGACAGATAACAGACGCTTGTCCCGCCTCACTTTAAATTATCATTAAATTCAAGTCACAGAGCAAGAACACAAGTCATTTCTTACTAGTTTGGTTTAGATGCAATGCCAGAAAAGAAAAATTGCACATTTGATGGATATTTTTCTCACTGTTTTGAAGAATAGGACATTTTGGGAAACACATATACAGCATGGTTTCTTGCCAAGAGTTAGACAAGAAGCGAAAAACTCGTCTTGTGTTTGCTGAACATGAAACCACTGCCAACAGCAGGTCAGCTTAGCTTAGCACAAGCAAGCCTGTCTCTGTCCAAAGGTAACAAAATCTGCCGTCCAACACCTCTAAAGCTCAGTAATTAACACATTATGTGCAGTATACTGAAATGTAAAAACAAAATGTTGTTGTCTTACCGGGTGTTATGTCGTATGACAGAGCCAGGCTAGTTATTTTCTCTCTTTTACTTCTATCTTGTTTACTATTTCTGTGACTGTGCCTGGCCAAGAAATAGTCTGGCACACCAAATCACAATTTGTTATTTTTACACTTCAGTTTTTGTACAGATTAAACAAACAAGATATAATGTGTTAAGTAGCGAGCTTTAGAGGTTCTAGTAGGCAGCTTATGTAACCCTTTGGACAGAGACAGGCTCGCTGTACCTCTCTTTAGACAAATTTAAAAAAACAACCACGCTGTGTTCATCATACAGACATGACATGAGGCAGCACTTTCTCCTCTTAGTATAAAAGTGAAAAGTACATTTCCATCTGGGATTTATTCAGAAGAACAAATCAAGCCTTTGCTCTATGACATGAATTGGATGAAAATACGTAAACGTCACAATAAAAGACACTGCATACTGATAGCCTTGAACATACAGCACTAACATCATTGAAATGCCCCATTATCTGAGGTTCAGACATAGGTCAGTCATGACTCAAGAGATTACCAAACCCTAAACCGTCGCCAAGTGCTATTCTGAAATTTCTGTTGCAGCTACTGTCCAAAAATCCAGATTAGGAGAACAGAGAATTCTTAATTTTCTGTCCATTCTGCCTGACCGGAGAGTTTTACCGTGATCCAGATTTAAACCAGATCTGGCCTTAAGCGTAGTTAAACTTTCAAATAAAATATTCATGAATCAACATAATATATGCAGTCATTCCGCAAAGACCGAGGGAAGGAGGGAGATAGAAGGAAATGGACTGATTAATGCAGGGTCACAAACACCATTTCACAAAGGAAGCCTCCCCCTGCAGGCTCATCTTTATCATCAGTCATTCTCTTTTATCAGCATGTTGTTTTCCTGGAAAGGCCCTTTCACATCAATTCTGAGCATCCAACCATCACAGCTGTATAGATAATGACAGTCAACCCTACAGTGCAGCAAAGACACTTTTAGGTCCCTTTTTTATCTCCAGCATGAGTTTATGGTCCAAGGTTAGTGGACACTCACGGTCTAATGATATTGCTGCTCCTCGAGTGAATGAAAACTCATCTTTCAACGATGCATGTTTTGAATTTTCCTCTAATGTGCTCTAATGTGTGAACAATAAAGCCTCAATCTGAATGTAAATACCATTTTGCATGTAATAGAAATGACACTTTATCTGTCCCTTTGTTCTGTGCAGAATTAACATTTATTAGAGACATGAGGCTCTTTGTTTGCCTGTTTTTCTCTCTCTTCGCCTAAATTAGACGGTGTCAGAGTGACTAAGACAGGGACAATGCCGCATTGTTTGAAGCACATCAGATGGTATGAGCAGAAAAGGATTCTCCGCATCACATGTATATACAATTTGAAACGGAAAGAAATCAAGAAATTATAGAGACAATGTTTAAAAGGAAAGGTTTTAAAGACGCATTACCACACTTTAATTCAGGATTGTACTCAGTCAGTGTAAGGTGATCTGATGCTAATGTGCTCATGGTGGTTTGTTTAGGATTGACTTATGGATTGGGTTGGAAAATGGATTATTTCAAAGATCAATCCAAAGGATTTTGGGGATGTCTCTTACACACACATCACCTTTTAAGTTTGTACATGATAATTCAGTGGAAAAGAGTAAATATTGACTTCGATTTGACACTCAACACTTCTAGGAACAATTATGCAAATATAGGATCCAGAAAGGAACAAGTGCATCTAATCCCATATCAGCGTAAACAGCCTTATTGCGGAATCTTTTGGGCCTCGGTACTCATAAGCCCAAAGTATTCTTCAGCTGCGTGGCATTCCTAATTTGTTTCATAACCACTACAACCAATAAGACCCACTACAAAGAGACAGGGGGACATTTGAACATCTGTGGGGCTTAATATATCTGCTGAGCTTAATTTCACACCATAGCTCAATAAGAGTTAGGGCTTCGTGGGCGGGCCCGAGCAATTTCAATCTGTTTGGGGACAGATTCCTGCAAGGGGTTCCAAGCATTTTCTGAATGGTTTTTGCCACTTGAACGACCCCCACTCCCAGTCCAACACTCATATAAGACTGCAAAGCTGGCAGTCAGGGAAAAACTACTTCCACTACTGCAGTTATGTTGAATTCCAAATTATGTTGAACATGTTTTTTCTTGTGTTAGGAAGCATGCACATGCAAAAAAAAAATCTTTGAATTAGAATTGTGTGGCTGTTTCGTAGATATCTGAGCTGGTGTAAATCCTCCTGACAAGTGAGTGAAGATTTATTTGATGCACTATACTGAGGAATCCTGCCAGGTCAGCTGGAACATGTACTGGGACTCAATTACCCAAATGGCTGTGGTGTTTCTTTCATCTAAACATTGATCAACTGGGCTGAGTCTGCAGCCTTCTTAAAGAGGGCTATTAAAATAGGCCATGGTAATAGCCATGACCGAGACAAAAATACTCAAAACAAACACCAATAAAGATGCCAGTTTAAGCATTCAGAGCATCATTTGTCGCATATAAGACACGCGCCTTTAAGTATTTTAATCCTCCGTTCAGTCCTTTTCAGCAAAAGCTTAACTGTAAAATGTACTGTGACTTTCTCTTCTAACATCATCATTGTCGATTTGAGGTTATTAGAAGACAAGCTTTTGTTTAAGCTGCAGGTTGCCAGTTCTCTTCATGTTAATCCACAACACATTTTCTGCTCCAGTGCTCTCTTCGCATAACACACACACACGCACACAATCATATACCCACACAAAACACTATGGATCGGCTGTTTAAGACCCTGCCTAACCCCTGCTGACCTTAATATGAGATGAACAGCGGTAACAAGAGGGGAGCTTCACTGAAACGTGCATCCATGTGTGTGTGTGTGTGTGTGTGTAAGAAGTACATTATGTGCAGTTACCACATCTGTTGCCATAGTGCATCAGACTACCCTCAGCTGAAGATTCATAGTCGTTTATAATCTAGTGTTATAGTTAAAAGAGAATCTTTGGACAAATAGGATTGTTGTTTTTTTTTTTCTTTTTTTCCTCCAACATTTGAATCTTTTTCACAGAGCTCTGGCAATCAAACACTAACCCAAGGCTGTTGTTACTATATGACTGATGACAGGTCTTGGCTGCTGCCTTGTCAGATGCACAGAGAAGTCATCAGGGAGCAAAATACACATCACCACAGGCAAAGTGTTGCTTTAAGTGTGTCATTGTGTCTATATGTCAAATATAATGACAAGCCTTCCGATTGGTTGTGAAATGGATTTGCATTTTCCAAGTTTGCGTTCTTTGTTTAATTTGATTAACACACTAATATTGATATGTTGAATTATACTGGATATATATGAGTCTGTTATGTGGGTTGTTATCTCAGCATGCTCTCAGCTGTTATATTTAAGATTTATGGCTCAATTTGTAGCAATTTAGATGTTCTCTTTCTTCCTCCTACTCACACTGGCAGATGGGCAGGGGGGAGCTGCTATTGTTTGGCCGGATTACATTCACTATATTACATGTGCACATGCACACAGACACACACACAGACTCATATACATTTGCACTCATACACACACATGTAAATAAATATTCCCCGATGGCTGTGGCTATTGGTCCAATGCACTCACAGTGACTTCCTGTGCTTTGTTTGCAAGTGGCCACATGCAAAGAAGAACATGGAAGGCCTCACGTACACTGACACTGATAGATGGAGAAATGGCATGCTTTATGTATAAAGTCAAATTAAATGTCTAAAGTCATTTGCTGACTTTTTCCAACCATGATCTTTTCCTTCTATAATGAAGGGCTGACAGAAATATATTTTTACATGAATGCAATAACCCATCTCTCTGGTAGTTATTTTTTTTAAATAGCTGTTTCAACAATTGGGACTGAGGACAAATATACTCTTGAAATCTGAGAAAGGATATTATGGGGTAGCAGTTTCTTATAATTTATGTTCTGTATCCTTGAAAGTCATAAGAACTTTCTGCATTACTTTAAACTTCACATGAACTGCTGTGTAAAAACTTACTCCACACCTGCTGCTATGAATATACAGCAGCACCTGCTCATGTCTGGTTTTCAGCCCTGACAGGTCCAAGCTTTTATGGTTCCACCTGGTCCAAGTGCACCTTGACTGGGTCAAACAGGGAGGAGCAGGATCCCTGCTGCACCCCCCCCACCCTCCAACCCTCCTCTAGCGACGGGCTGAAGGAAAGGACAGCTGCTCCATGTCAGCCCCGGAGAGGGGGCTAGTGCAGTACCGAGCTCCTCTCAGTGCATAAGGATTTCAGCTATGTCTCCATTAGACCCCAGTGAGCAGACATCGGCACCAAATATAGCCCAATTAACGTCACGCCGCAGGCCACGCCTAGCTAACCCTCTCTGCTTCCCCTCCAGGGTGCTGTGTGTGAATCAATCATTTGGGTCAGGGTCCTGTTCCCTGTGACTCTCTCGTCTCTTTTGAAGCACACACTCCCAATCTTGGTGATAATCTGCTATGAGTCTGAAATGCCAATTACAAACAACAAGGGGTTTAGACCCCTGGTTGTTACCCTAGAGGATTTGTTAAAAGCTGAGGGATGAGGTGTGAGTGAGAATATTTCCACTGTGAAGGTGCACATTGAGGAAGCAAAGCAGATTAGTTTGGGAAAGTCATACAATTTTCTTCTAGTGCTATTTGTTCAGCTAGAGCAGCTTTGCCCCACTGTAACATTAGGATGAGCAAGGTGTTGACAGAAGTATAATTATACCTGGTCTAGGGCACTTTTTTTTTTTTGTCTGAGAGTAACACCACTGGTGGTCATTTTGCCAGGAAGCTGCAAATAGAGGAAAGTGTTTACACTCAAACATGGCATAACCTGCCAAAGGACAGACCATGCACCAACAACAAACCTAGAAAATCTGGCTTATACAAGACACGACTAATTCTTTTATGCACTAGAAATGAATTAATTTATATAAAACGGGTATGGCTATCTGCAGGTGCCTGTCTGGCTTTCAGTTGAGCTTACCAGACAGGCTTACGTAACTGAACGTTTAAACGCAGCGGCTCAGATGTCGTCCTGCACTGCACATTATTATGACATCGGCCACTCTCTCATTCATGATCTGACTTATAAGGCAAGGACACTCTCTGCACAGACTTGTGAACCTTGAGATCGCCCAGCCTGCCAAGCATGACCACTGTTTTCCACAACACAAACAAGCCGCAGGATGTCTCTGGCCTGGGCTGGCCATTTCTGTGGCTTAGTGAAGAGACATGCTTGAATGGGTCCCATTGTCAATCTATTTGTCACCCACTATTTTGTGGTGGCTTTTGGCAAGGCCCCAAGGTCACTAGCTCATAGGCCTAAATATGTCACACCCAGTGGAAGAGGCAAAAATAGTATGGATCTTACACTGTAAATAAAAATAAATAAATAAACAAAAAAATGTAAAATATTAGAATGGGCATTTTTCATCTAATATCAGCAGAACCCGTGCCTCAAAATGACTGCTATAAAACCAATTTACTGCACGACTTTGCTTTATCAATCTTCTGACAACATGTATGAACAAATATGAGCTTTTCTTGTTGTAGCTGAATGCGTGAGTTTTTGTTTTTTTGTTTTTTTTAATAGTCACCACAGAATAATTTCTTCAAAAGTAACATATTAAGCTGAAGCTAACATGAAAAAATAGTCTAAATGGACTCAAACTATACAAGAATAGCACCAATTTAGTTCACCCTCTGACCCCACCTGCATTACAATTTTTTTTCAAACAAAAAAAGGATCTTTACCTCTGACTATTTATGTAGTATTATATATCCTGCAACACCTTGTAAAACTCAGCTTACCTTGTAAATGTACTAAACAGAGTTGAGTTGACACCCTATGCTTTGACTGCTGTATAGTATGGCAGTGTGCCTGTTAAACCTTCAGGCGGATGAAAGATGAGAAGTGCTTGGTATTAGGAGCAGGAGACCTTTGTAGGTTTCCTTTACCACCACTCATATTTCTGTAAGCCATTTCTACACTTCACCAGAGCATGAGTTTGATATTTCCAAGCTGTTACAACAGGCTTTTTGAGAGCTAAGACATGGCTTCTATCCAGAATACTGCTTCAAGCTGCCTCTGCTTTGTCGAAGCGCAAACACAGTCCTCCATTGTGGTGTTACAAATCATCCTCAGTACCTCTAGTCTTCGATTACAGTCCTGGAACACCAATCCCTTTGCTTTTGTGCACCCAAAACAAGCACATTACTGACTCAGACAAAGTCAGTGTAAACAACTCTAAAACTGTGCAAACATCATTATTCATACACAGTACCCAGCCTCTCAGCAGTTACCCATCTCACAAAAACATGGTTTAAAAATGCGCTTGAGGATGCTGTAGCTTAAAAGGGGATATAGGGGGGTGAGGGAGGGGGGGATTTTAGAATAGCTTGGCTGGGTATATGTCCAACCGTTGGGTGTGAACCACTCATGTGTTAAAGCCCCCCCTCCAGGCTCATGCAACAGCCTTGCCAACGCCTGCAACTTCATCTCTGGGTCAGTCAAGTCTAAAATGTCTGAAAACCTGGTGTAAAACCATACTTGCATGCATAGCGAGGCAAATGTTTCAGCAAGTTTAACCACTTGAAAAGTATTGTGTTTCACCAAAGGGACTGACCTTCTCAGTGTACCTGCAGTCTGCTCCATATGTAAAGTATCAACGTTTCTGATGCTTCAGCTCACTTTAAGGCTGTGTTTTATCCACATTTTGCCACTGGAAGCTTTACAATATACAGGTGTGTGTGTGGTGTATGTAAGCTTTTTCTTAATAGTTACCCGGTTGGTAGAAGTTGGGTGAGAGCTCCCTTGCAACCGCTCTGGCAATTTCAGAGTCATGCACAGCAGAGATCGCGGCCTGGTCTGCAGCCTCGCTTTTTGTCCTGGCATGGGCCGTTCTGGAAACACACAAATATAAACAATATTATTAATGGTAACCATGGATAAAAGAAGTATGTCTGAAGTCTCCTCCACACATGGACACTAACTAAACAGACACACAGTGTACAAACACACATTTTCCATTGGTCTGTGATTCTGCATACTGCCATGTCATCCATGACATTCGCCATCTTCACAGTTGACGCGACAGATTCCCTCTGTTATCTTTTTTTTGTTGCTTCTTTTCCATCCCTCCCTGCCTCTTCCCTCATCGTTGAGCTGTATCACTCAGCCTGTCCCTCTTGGGGATAACGTAACACCTCCCTTGTGCTTCTATCTCAAATCCAAATCCCGATTTTCCAAATGGAGCTCAGCCACATCCGAGCAAGACCTTAATCCAGTCTGGAGCACTGCACTGCTGCTGGACCACCCGGGAGTAAACACACACACAGGCTGTGATATCATATCGTATCATATCATATCATATCATATCATATCATATCATATCATATCATATCATATCATATCAGTGAAAAATATACTGTGACTGAAAAACCATCGAGTCATTTGTGCATTTTCATTGTTTTCAATGATTCACGATTGCAAAAGTTCTCTTTGGAAGCTGTGTTTAAATCCCTCTCTATAAACTTCTAATTACAGTGAGCATAAAACAAAACAAAGCAAAAGCATGAGGCACCTCCTATGACTGCTATAACATGAGCCAGTGTTAAAAATCCAGCAAATCAGTGGATTTTCATCTGTTCGAAAGCACTGGTGGATCGTGTATCTTCTGTACCACTGCTTAGAAACTAAAAGGCACAAGAGTGATATGTTTTCGAATCAATGTGAGCTCAGCATTAGCACTGCGAGGCATTACGGGAGCATACCATGGTGAGAAAGCGAGAGGCCAGGGGTGACCTGCTTAACAAATCCTTTGAAAACTCTACCAAGAGATTCTGCGTATAGGCACATGCGTGTCCACACGCAAACAAGCAAATGCGAAAAAAAAAAAAAACGACATGCGCTGTAGAGAACATCTGTGAAGTGGTTAGAGAAGATACGTCCACCGCCTACCACCAGAGTCCCTTCAGAAGAGACCAAATTAAATATTACACATCAGTTAAAGCTTGTGGATTAGTCACTTATGCATGAACAGATAGCGACAGCGAATGCTCAAACAATACATGACAGTGCAACAAGGAATGAAAGGATCCAGATGGGGAGTTCAAGTATTGCTATAAGTATTGACAGCTGTGCCTGCTGCCCTGCTTAACCCCACTCATCCATCTTCCTCTCCCTCTTTCTTTCACCATCCCTTCTCTCTTTCAATCAATGCCCCTGTTTTTTTTCTTTTTTTTCTCCGATCCTCCTTCATCTGGCTATTGACGCACGCCCCTCATCCTTGCGCATCCCCTCGCCTCCCCTCCCTCCCCACTGTCTTTCTGTCAGAGTGACCCCAACGGACAGATGTCTCTATTTCAGACTACTTCTCTGTCCTTGGACTCTGAGCTGTCCTGTTTTTGACGACTGGCACAGTTAGATATTAAAATGCATGAGTAGATGATGGACCCAGAAATAAGTCCCTGCATCACCCACAAACAAAGAGACGCACTGATGATGTGTTTACAGGCACCCACAACCTCTGGAAACTACTGACCAGTTGCAGATAAAAAAAATTTGGATTTCAGAATTTCAGTCTCCCAGTATAGCACCACAATGCTTTGCTTCTCACCGAGTACAAGGAATGTCACTGGTGTGGCTAAATTGGGGTACTGTCCAGCTTCATGGTCTTACTTAAGTTAAAAACTGACATTAAAGCATTCCAGTGACACCACACCACTGACATGCACACTGCAGACATCCACTTGTCACACATGGGACCAGAAGGACATACAGACTTCTATTTCTGAAATGTGTGAAATGTGCTGCCAAGTGAAAGGAGGCATGAATGCGTTATGAATGTATACAGCGTGCCCGTGGCGTATCCTGAGGATCTTAACAGTGGAGTGGGCATGAAAGTCACGGGCAGACAGAGGAAGTGATGCAGACTGTTCTCAGACAGGATGTCTGGTGGTGGGAGGTGACAGGCAGAGAAACATGAGAGTTGAGGTGTGATGGAGCATTGGGACAATAAGAGAGCGAAATGAAAGGTGAGAAAACATGGACATGTAGAAGGAAGAGATGAAATGGTAGCCGGGGTTCTTCATGGTAAATATTACAAATAGAAACTTACTTTAAAGTGGCAAGAGAAAACTTATTAACCTCCTCTCCCCCCTCATTGTATGTCTAAATGGAATTAGTGTTGGTGCCGCTGTTGCAAAGACCAGATTGCTTGTCATTTTCTTAGCAAACTACTAACAGCACAGGACACAAAATGATCATCACTATTTAGAAAATAAGAGAGAACAAAGGAGCTCCTGATTCGTTTCCTGCCTGCTAGTGGCTGTGTTGCCAACATTGATACCAATAACAACCTGCCACGGTCCAAAGCAAGAAACAAGCATAAGAGTACCAATTTGAAAGAGAAACCCTGATCTCAGTACTATAATAAAGGCAGAATAAAACACCTGGCTGTACAAATAAGGAGGCAGGCCCTGTTATTTACTGACTTAGTAGAAATAATGCCAACTGAATGTCATTTTTGAACCCTCTCAAGTTCCAGAGCTCTCTCTATCAAGTGAATGTTTTACCTCTTCAATCTCTTTACCTCCTCCGACAATGGAGATCTGTTTTCTTTTGCCAGGTAGAGTTGCCACAGTAATTCCACTTTGTGCCATAGATCAAGCCTTAATTTTCCTGGGAGGTTTTGGAGCCGACGTTGCAATTGCATAGTGAGAGGGAGGTTTATAGGGAGCCAAGCTAATGTCAGTGGTGTCGCGACTCTATAGCCATTACATTGTGTAATCAGCATTTACTTCATATTGATAAGTAAACAACTTGTCTTTAACTTTAATAACTTCCCACAGAGCACAAGCTGGCCTGTATTTTTGCAACATGCTGTAAACACAACATCGGCATGTTTGTGCTTGAACAAGTTGTCATTGAGAAGACAGAAGAGAAAAGTTCTCATTTTGAGTCATATTTGTGTGCAAAGGATCACATTTCCAGCATTCACTCTCCTTTTTGCTCCTTATCTGCCAATTGATCTGGTGGTGTTGCAGAGAGCATGCTGTTGGTTTATCAGAGGTTTTTCCATCAACAACAGCTTCCTGATGTGGAAGTTATACCCTTAAACCCCAAAACAATGAGCTAAAAGATGAAAAAAATGCTTCACAGAGCAGATGATAATTCTCTATGCTTCTGACATGATCATCAATGCGAATCCTTCTGACAAAATGCTAAAGCACACATGAAAAGAAATGCATTTCAAGGACGAATTATAAAATGCGCTGTCACAGTGCTGCCAAATTCAAGGCAAAAATCTGGTTTAACAACAAAATGCAAGCTCAAGCTTGACCTTTGAAAAAGTTTTGTGTTCTATAACTTGTCAGACAGTCTGCAGCCTCCTTACTTGAAGCCAATCTGCTTCTGAATATAAAGCAACACCTGTTCACTCTGCAGGTGCTTCTGTTTGGGGATGGGTCCAAGCAAAACAAACTATTTGAACCTGTTGGCACAAATGCAAACTATCACGCACGCACGCATGCACGCACGCACGCACGCACGCACGCACGCACAACAGTTTGTCAGAATCTGGACAACATTTCGAAGGGTGCAAAACCTTGAAGCAACTCCTTTTGGACTGAAGCTCCATTTGAGCAATGATATTGATGAACGCCTGGTGCAATCCAGGGCTGTTTCATTACTGTGACAAATGAATTGTGTGAAAAGTGTTGAGTCAGTTTGGCAGCGACTGCGGCGGATGGCTCTTTCTCTCCGTGGAATGTGTTTCTGTGTGTTTTTGATACAGAGGATGGTGGTGAGAAAAAGGAGGAAAAGGTGCAGAAAGATACGAGGAAAGGGTGGAAAAGGAAAAGAGAGTGACAGAATCGGAGAGTGAAAGAGACTAAGACAGTGAGAGAGAGAGAGAGAGACAGATTGCCCCCTCTAAAGACTCCTGGGTATTTAGAACTGCTGAGGTATGCACCTCAGCCTCTCTAATTTTACTGTAGGGTTAAATTTCAAACCACAGTTCCCATGTTGCATGTTGGTGTATCCCGCTTTAAGGTTTGTCATACCTTGGTCTCCTGCTCAATACAGTATGAGGGTGTCTGTAATATGTGAATGTTGTGTTTGTGTGTCTGTGTGTGTGTGTGTGATTTTATGTGTGCACGTTCCCCAAAGAAAAGCTTCAGTCCATCACTCCCCAGGCTATGGCCTATTTGAGGAATCTCTCTCACATATGCTGACACAGTTTTGAACCCCCCCTTCGCTTCTTGGTCCCCTCCACCCCCCTTTTGCTTCTTCACTTATGCACCCCTCCCCTTTTTCTTTTCCTCATCTTTCTTCTCTCCATCACACTGAACCGTTCCCCTTCCCCCTAAGTCCAAGCTTGGTAACTGGAATGCTGACTGGTACAGTATATAATAAGATAGAAGATGAGTCTTGACCTTGCCAGTGGTAAACGTCAGCACAACAATCTTCCCCTCAATTCCATCACTCTCTTAAATTGCCCAATACCAAGAGAAAACTACCACTGTACAACAGGGGTCATATCATTTGCTAAATGATGCTTGTGTGTGTGAGCGCATAATGAAAGGATATTATACATTACTAGAAATTGCAGGCCTATATCGCGCCCAAACAATCCCCAGGTCCAAAGCAGCAGCACAGACAGTCTGCACAAATTAGCACTTAGCTTGCCCTGCACATATATTCACGCAGGCCGGCTATTGAATTCCCGGCTGGTGCTAATTCAGGATTACTCAAGCATGACTAACACCATTAGTGGTTAGCTAAAACCGACTCTGAAATTATTCAGGAATTATTCCTGGACTGAGGTCTGGGCTCACATTACCAGGGGATGCAGCAGTGGGGGGACAAAAGCTACAGCAAATGAGGTTTTAAGCAGGAGATG